CCTACGCGTTTCGACCTTCAATTGGACTTCCTCAGGGACTTGGTGAAATAAATACAATAATAATGATAACAGCAATAAAAACTATCCCTCCCACAGTCCTTTTATACATCCCCCATTGATTGTTCAATGATTTTCGGCAGCTATTCAGCTTCCGTTTTGGCGGCAAAAACCGGATGACATCATCACGTGCGCCGTATGCGTTCCACCTTGCGTTCCACGAACCCAGAAGTGGATCGCGATCGTTTATCTTCATCGCTTTCCCTGATACATTTGCTGCAAACATATATGGGCAGATGAATAAAACGGAAGGGGGGAGGAAATACTATTAAAATAACTCTCTGGATGGCACTACATTAATGAAATAAAACAATTTTCCTGATTTTAATTATTTTATAACAGAATCTATAGGTGCACTACATTTTGTATATATTTTTCTCTTTTGAGTCATATATACCAGTTCGCTAATGGAAGTGTGAGGAGGGACAACACAGTACTGAAGAAAAAATATATTATTCAAGGCTGCTTTTACACCAGAGAATTTGGGAGTGACCAATTGTGATTGCACATTATTACTAGTCCCCACCCAGTTAAACGCTATGTTTTTTTATTTTATTTGCATTTAGCAGATTATCCCCTATTCTATTTGTATATACTTGCTGAAGACAGGAGGAAGTCTTTGGGGATTTACCTGGATACTTCACCTAAATCACAGGGAAGTCCTGGTTTGCTTTGAATTGTATATTTCACTGGGGTTGTGTTCACATATATTGTTGTTTGTGTGTATCTGTGTCAGTATGTGTGTATCTGTGTGTGTCAGTGTGCATGTGTATCTGTGTCAGTATGTGTGTGTATCTGTGTGTGTGTCAGTGTGCATGTGTATCTGTGTCAGTATGTGTGTGTATCTGTGTGTCTCTCAGTATGCGTGAGTGTATCTGTCTCAGTATATGTGTGTATCTGTGTGTGTCGATGTGTATAAGTTTCTGTGTCAATATGAGTGTGTATGTGTATCTCTCAGTATGTGTGTGTGTCAGTGTGTGTATCTGTGTCAGTATGTGTGTATCTGTGTCAATATGTATGTGTATCTGTGTGTGTGTTAGTATGTGTGTGTATCTGTGTCAGTATATGTGTGTATCTGTGTGTGTGTCAGTGTGTATGTGTATCTGTGTCAGTATGTGTGTGTATCTGTGTCAGTATGTGTGTGTGTGTGTATCTGTGTCAGTATGTGTGTGTATCTGTGTGTGTGTCAGTATGTGTATGTATCTGTGTCAGTATATGTGTGTATCTGTGTGTGTGTGTCAGTGTGTATGTATATCTGTGTGTGTGTATCTGTGTCAGTATGTGTGTGTATCTGTGTGTGTGTCAGTGTGCATGTGTATCTGTGTCAGTATGTGTGTGTATATGTGTGTGTGTCAGTGTGCATGTGTATCTGTGTCAGTATGTGTGTGTATCTGTGTGTCTCTCAGTATGTGTGAGTGTATCTGTGTCAGTATATTTGTATATCTGTGTGTGTGTGTGTGTGTGTCAGTATATCTGTCTCAGTATATGTGTGTATCTGTGTGTGTCAATGTGTATAAGTTTCTGTGTCAATATGAGTGTATTTGTGTATCTGTCTCAGTATGTGTGTGTGTCAGTGTGTATGTGTATCTGTCTCAGTATGTGTGTGTGTCAGTGTGTGTATCTGTCTCAGTATGTGTGTGTGTGTACAAAACATACATTACGGAACAGCGCACACAAAAGACACAGTTTTACGTTTTACAAGGCTACTTAAAATGACCTATATCAGCAAGCAAATTTGGTCATATTATGTTAAGCCCACCAATACGTCACAGTACTCAATTATCAAAGGGTCCTACGCTACCATTAGTATGTGTATGTGTACCTCAATATGTCAATAAGTGTGTATCTGTGTGTGTCAGTATGTGTGTATGTGACGAAGTGCTCTTCGCCACTTGTGCCTGGAGAGGACTGCTTGCCCGCCTCTTGCCCTGTGACTATGGCCCCTGGGATGTATTGCCCTTTAAAGACATGATTTGGGCATAATGGATTTGTGTTGTGCTGTTGCTGGCCCTTTAAGAACCATCTGGGGACATACTGTGGAGTTACTGGGTGGCCACCATTTTCTGTATCAGAAGCACATGGTGAGAACAATGGATGGCGGCCATTTTAACTCACAGACACTGTTTGGACTTTTCAACACGGTGCCATCTCGCCAGTATTTGGTGCACAGAGACATCGTGCAGTGGTTTTGGACTATACAGCAGAGGACACATTATAAAGTGATTGTTTTTCATTTAGCCTGTATATGTTCTGCAGAATCTGCATTAAACTGTATTTTCCAAAGTACTGAACGGATCTGGGTGAATTTTGGATATGTGGTTCACCCAGATCCCCTGGTTCCAAGGATATATATTTTATGGGGTTATTGCATGTTTTGGGGTCCCTGTGTGTTTTATGAAACTGTATTATTTCTGGCAAGCAGATAATTGAGCTTTGTGTATTGTAGAAACTCAATTATCTAGCCTGGCCCAGAGGAGGAGTTTTGTGTTGCATAAATTGTGAGTTCTGTGTGCCAGTAAATCAGTCTTGTTCCAGCATTAAGCCTTGGCTCATGTTTGGGGGAAGGGATACCTACACTCTGGGGATTGCTATAATCACTTACTCCCCAGAGGAAGCTCTTGCAATAGCTTGATTTGTTCCTGTTCCTGCTCTTTGGGGAAAGAGAGGTTCACCCACTGGAAGCTGGATCCTGGCCTTGGGTCCAGGGTGGGTGGAAACAGCAGAGACCCCGGCGCAGTTGCATCGCTGGAAGTGGGGTCTGCAGTGCTGATGGTGTCGGTTGGAGTGCTTGGAGTCCTCAGCGAGCACTAGGAGCATCGATTGGCGGAGGTACTCAGTCGGAGTGCCAGTGGTCCGTCACAGTGTATATCTCTGTGTGTGTGTGAGTGCGTGCGTCAGTGTGTATGTGTACCTCAATATGTCAGTAAGTGTGTATCTGTGTGTGTCAGTATATGTATGTATCTGTGTACCTGTGTCAGTAAGTGTGTATATGTGTGTCAGTATGCATATGTATCTGTGTGTGTGTCAGTGTGTATGTGTACCTGTGTCAGGGTGTGTGTCAATATGTGTGTGTATCTGTGTATGTGTGTGTGTGTCTCAGTGTACCTGTGTCAGTAAGTGTGTATCTGTGTGGGTCAGTATGTGTGTATATATATGTGTGTGTGTGTGTGTACCTGTGTCAGTAAGTGTTTATATGTGTGTGTCAGTATGTGTGTATTCTTTGTGTGTGTCAGTATGTGTGTATATATATATATATATGTGTGTGTGTGTGTGTGTGTGTACCTGTGTCAGTAAGTGTTTATATGTGTGTGTCAGTATGTGTGTATTCTTTGTGTGTGTCAGTATTTGTGTGTATATGTGTGTGTGTCAGTGTTTATGTATCTGTGTATGTGTCACTGACTATGTGTATCTGTATCCCAACAGGGATGTTACACTCCCCACCCCAATCGGTACTACGTCTGGTCCCAGTTTTAACGCTAATAATTATGGCAAGCCTATTTATATATTGATTGCATTGTCATACCCCCAACATTTCAAATGGACAAAGAGTGACACTTTCATTATAGGGGTGTGTGAGTGGGGACCTGACCAGGGGCAGATCTGTTCTAAAAAATGTTAGGTGACTTACTAATAACAATTTATAGAATTAAAATGTAATTTAGAAGAAGAACAATGTATCTTATTTACAGACACATTATTGTGAGTATTTTTGCTGTGGAGCTCTGTTATACACTCAGACACACCAACAATATGGAGCTCCAAGAAAAGAGGGACATTAGGAGAGAAAATAGGGACAGAGGGATTTGGGCCCAAAATAGGGACACTAGGAAGGTATGCATTGCACAGCACTGTGGAATATGTTCGTGGTACATGGCTCACGTTGTGACATGTATGATTGCGAAAGGAATGACAAACCTGACATATTTCTTCACTACGAGACGTACTTCGTAAGACTCAGATCTTCATAGCATTCCTATTCTCTCTGATTGAAACAATGATTGCAGTGATCGAGCTGTGGAATTGCCGACACTTCCTGACGAATGTTACAGCAACTTCCTGCACAATAAGGCCATAAGATCTATTAAACATTGTGGATACACACACGAGGAATTCCTACTTCCACGTAGACAGACCGGAAAAATAGAGAATATAAGCCTCAATTTAAAGGGACACTATAGGCACTCAGCTGATTGACATGGTCTGGGTACACTGGCCCTGTCCCCCTTAGTCCTGCAATGTAAATCATTGCCATTTTAGAGAATCTGCAGTGTTTACCATACAGTATTATGACAGCCTCAAGTGGCTATTTACCAGACAACCACTAGAGGTGCTTCTGCTATTTTACCAAACTTTAGGTCCACTTTGCATGAGGACATCCAGTGCCAGTAAAATCCCCATAGGAAAGAATACAAGTAATGCTTTCCACTGGGGAGGGCCTAATGCGCTCACAGCGCATGTTCATTAGGTCCCCTCATCAGACGAGGCAGAGGGCTGGGAAAATTTCATTTTTGTAATTCTTTCCTAATTGGACCATTTTGGTTTTGTCCATATTAGTAGCTTAGTCTTATTCCCAGATGTTTTAAAACAAGGAAGTATTTCCTCACTGCTGTCATCATTAGTCTAATATTCCCTAACGTCTCCTTTGAGTAACTTTCAGAAATTGGAGAATGACCTCGGACCAGGGTCTAGCTACACCACAATGCTTGGACTCTATCTGTATAGACTTCAAATCTGTTCTTCACGAGAACCTACCACCTGAACAATTATTCAACATGTGTAAGATTGCTTCAGACATTGTGATGGAACAGGTTACTACTTTCATTTGTGTTGGTTGGTGATGTCCCAAGATGGGTCATTCATGGTGTGAGGTTCATAGTACTTCATAGAGTCGTTGATTTTATTGCTCTCTGACCAAATAAAAAGGAGGATATTATTTTACACCAGTACAATACCCAAGCCATGCAAACCAAGTCATCAAACAGGAAGAAAAAAGGAATTATGAAAAAGCAAAGAGATAAAATGGGAGTCCTCTATTCTGGAAACTAACTTCATGCATCAGAAAAGTAGCCTATACTATGTCAAACATCTCAGTGGTATTCGTTTTCTGGCCATAAGCCACAGAAATGTTGATTGAGTGTACCTCAGACTTTAGTTGTTAGTTCAACCTTCACGTTTATGTCTCTAATTTTACAGAGAACTACAGACCAGGGTGATGTGTCTATACATCTCTGCAAGGCACTGCATGCCAGTAATGGAATGCAACGTAGTCTACAGACAAGGGGACAACTTCATGGAGAGCCATTGTATATAGAATGGCCAAGGGGACAGGTCCACAGAGGACCATAGTATATAGAATGGCCAAGTCTACAGAGGACCATAGTATATAGAATGGCGAAGAGGACAGGTCCACAGAGGACCATAGTATATAGAACGGCCAAGGGGACAGGTCCACAGAGGACCATAATATTTAGAATGGCCAAAGGGACAGGTCCACACAGAGGACCATAGTATATAGAATAACAAAGGGGACAGGTCCACAAAGGACCATCATATTTAGAATGGCCAAAGGGACAGGTCCACAGAGTATTTAGAACGGCCAAAGGGAAAGTTTTACAGATGTCCCCAGTATTTAGAATGAATGACCAAGGGGACCGGTCCACAGAAGACCATAGTATTTAGAATGAATGATCGGGACCACTCCACAGAGGACCATAGTATTTAGAATGAATGATCAAGGGGTAAAATCCATAGAGGTTCCTAATATTTAGAATGAACGTTCAAGGCGTTAAGTCCATGGAGGTCCCTATTATTTAGAATGAATGTTGAAGGAGTTAAGTCCATGGAGGTCCCTAGTATTTGGAATGAACATTCAAGGGGTAAAGTCCATGGAGGTCCCTAGTAGAATGAATGACCAAGGGGACAGGTCCATAGTATTTAGAATGAATGACCAAGGGGACAGGTCCACGGAGGTCCCTAGTATTTAGAATGAATACATAAGGGGACAGGTTCACGGAGGTCCCTAGTATTTGGAATGAATGGCCAAGGGGACAGGTCCACGGAGGTCCCTAGTATTTAGAATGAATGACCAAGGGGTCAGATCCATGGAGGTCCCTAGTATTTAGAATGAATGACCAAGGGGACAGGTCCATGGAGGTCCATAGTATTTAGAATGAATGACAAAGGGGACAGATCCACGGAGGTCCATAATATTTAGAATGAATGACCAAGGGGACAGGTCCATGGAGGTCCCCAGTATTTAGAATGAATGACCAAGGGGACAGGTCCACAGAGGTCCATAATATTTAGAATGAATGACCAAGGGGACAGGTCCATGGAGGTCCCCAGTATTTAGAATGAATAACCAAGGGGACAGTTCCATGGAGGTCTCCAGTATTTAGAATAAATGACCAAGGGGACAGGTCCACAGAGGTCCCTAGTATTTAGAATGAATGACCAAGGGGACAGGTCCATGGAGGTCCCTAGTATTTAGAATGAATGACCAAGGGGACAGGAGGTCCATAGTATTTAGAATGAATGACCAAGGGGACAGGTCCATGGAGGTCCCTAGTATTCAGAATGAATGACCAAGGGGACAGGTCCATGGAGGTCCCTAGTATTTAGAATGAATGACCAAGGGGACAGGTCCATGGAGGTCCCTAGTATTTAGAATGAATGACCAAGGGGACAGGTCCATGGAGGTCCCTAGTATTTAGAATGAATGACCAAGGGAGACAGGTCCAGGTCCCTAGTATTTAGAATGAATGACCAAGGGGACAGGTCCACGGAGGTCCCTAGTATTTAGAATGAATGACCAAGGGGACAGGTCCACGGAGGTCCCTAGTATTTAGAATGAATGACCAAGGGGACTGGTTCATGGAGGTCCATAGTATTTAGAATGAATGACCAAGGGGACTGGTTCATGGAGGTCCATAGTATTTAGAATGAATGACCAAGGGGACTGGTTCATGGAGGTCCCTAGTATTTAGAATGAATGACCTAGGGGACAGGTCCATGGAGGTCCCTAGTATTTAGAATGAATGACCAAGGGGACAGGTCCATGGAGGTCCCTAGTATTTAGAATGAATGACCAAGGGGACTGGTTCATGGAGGTCCATAGTATTTAGAATGAATGACCAAGGGGACAGGTCCATGAAGGTCCCTAGTATTTAGAATGAATGACCAAGGGGACTGGTTCATGGAGGTCCATAGTATTTAGAATGAATGACCAAGGGGACAGGTCCATGGAGGTCCCTAGTATTTAGAATGAATGACCAAGGGGACAGGTCCATGGAGGTCCCTAGTATTTAGAATGAATGACCAAGGGGACAGGTCCATGGAGGTCCCTAGTATTTAGAATGAATGACCAAGGGGACAGGTCCATGGAGGTCCCTAGTATTTAGAATGAATGACCAAGGGGACAGGTCCATGGAGGTCCCCAGTATTTAGAATGAATAACCAAGGGGACAGTTCCATGGAGGTCTCCAGTATTTAGAATGAATGACCAAGGGGACAGGTCCACGGAGGTCCCTAGTATTTAGAATGAATGACCAAGGGGACAGGTCCATGGAGGTCCCTAGTATTTAGAATGAATGACCAAGGGGACAGGTCCATGGAGGTCCCTAGTATTCAGAATGAATGACCAAGGGGACAGGTCCATGGAGGTCCCTAGTATTTAGAATGAATGACCAAGGGGACAGGTCCATGGAGGTCCCTAGTATTTAGAATGAATGACCAAGGGGACAGGTCCATGGAGGTTCCTAGTATCTACCTGCTGTGCAGGCCTGCTGAGAAGGTACACAAATAGTCATTATCATCACATACCTGTTAAAGCCTAATAAGTGTTCTGCAGAGATATTCAGATATTGAATAGTTTGCTGATTGCCATGGTTTGTGGACAGGAGGAGAGTTATATGATGGGTCCATTGTCACAGGTTGTCTTACAGTATTGGTAGAAAACATGTTTGTAATGTCCAGATAGTGGAATTATTGTATATAAGGCAGGTATCACAGCTCCTTTGCCCATGGTTCACCTGACAGCTGGATGGGTGATTGACAGGTGGGTGTAAGATTGACAGCTGGATGACTGACAGCTGGGTGGATGATTGACAGCGGGATGGATGATTGACAGCGGGATGATTGACAGCTGGGTGGATGATTGACAGCCGGCTCAGTCTTTTCCCCTTTAAGAAACCAACCTTGTGTTTCCTGTTACAGTGAGGGCGGGAATATGATGAATGATGTACACACCAGCCAATAGAATTAGGCATTGGGCGGGGCTTCGATGATTGACATCGGCCGCTGGATGGGTGCGGCCTGGGTGTAAATGGGGATGGCGGTGGGGGGCGGAGTTTCTGTGTGAGTGACGCGCGATGCAGCCAATCAGGTGAGAGCTGTATTGTGCTCCTAGGCCCGGTGTTACCGGAAACATGGCGGCTGTGTGAGCTGGCGGGAGAGCCGGGCCGGGCATGGCTGGGACCGGGGGCCGCATCGGGGAGGTCATACACCTCAATGTGGGCGGCAAGAGGTGAGTGAGTGAGTGAGGGAGTAAGGGGGGCTGAGAAACTGAGTGTGAGCGGCAGAGAGTGAGGGGCTGTGTGTGAGCGTGAGGGGCTGAGTGTGAGAGTGAGGGGCTGTGTGTGAGCGTGAGGGGCTGTGTGTGAGAGTGAGGGGCTGAGTGT